ACAGTACTTGGAGAATCAAGATATAGTCACAAACCTCTTTTGGGGGGAAAAGCATGGATATGCCCAGAGGGCAGATTTTCATATCAGCCGAGAATGCTTATTGGATACACAGATCTTCTGTTACTTTCTCACATAGCTGTCTCTTTGGGGTACTGTACTAAATGGTCATTCCTAATCTTGCCTCCTTTTTTCCCCTTGCTCAGGGCTCGGAAAGAACGATACTTTGAATTCCCTTTGCTAGAGCGGTACCTGGCATGTAAGCAGCGCTCACATTCACTAGTGGCTACCTACCTCCTAAGGAACTCCCTCTTGCTCCTCTTCACCGCAGCCACCTACCTGTACCTTGGCTACTTCCACCTGGATGTTTTCTTCCAAGAAGAATTCAGCTGCTCCATCAAGACAAGGCTGCTAAGTGATGAGACCCATGTCCCCGATCTGATCCCATGCAGGCTGACCTCCCTGTCCATTTTCCAGATTGTTAGCCTCTCCAGTGTAGCAATATACACCCTGCTTGTTCCAGTGATAATATACAACCTCACGCGGCTATGCCGGTGGGACAAACGTCTCCTATCCATCTATGAGATGCTCCCAGCTTTTGATCTCCTCAGCAGAAAGATGCTGGGATGCCCCATTAATGACCTCAATGTCATTCTTCTTTTTCTCCGAGCTAACATCTCTAAGCTCATCTCTTTTAGTTGGTTGAGTGTCTTATGTGTGTTGAAGGACACAACCTCCCAGAAACACAACATTGACACAGTGGTTGATTTCATGACTCTACTGGCTGGCTTGGAACCCTCAAAACCTAAACATCTCACCCACAGGGTGTGTGATGAACATCCTTAGTTAAGAAATCATGGAGCAAGAAATTTTATAGAAAGTAAAAATCTCTCCTTCCTCATAAGCCTCACATACTAATACTGCATACAAAAATACCCACTTTAGAATTTCTAAGCTTGGATTTGGATGAATCATATATCCCGTATTGTGTTATCCTAAAGGTGAGAAGACATAATCAAGATGTGCAAAAAAATGTGAAAGCTGGAGCTGAAGAGTCCGAGAACTAAAAAATTAGATCTATAGGGCCGGCCCGGTGGTGCACTGCGCTAGTGCGCCGCTTGGGAAGCGCGGAGGCGCTCCCGCCGAGGGTTCAGATCCCACATACAGACCGGTTCCCGCTCACTGGCTGAGCGAGGCGCGGGGGCAACACCGAGGGTTGCGATCCCGTTGCCGGTCCCGGTCCGGTACGGGGGCGACACTGAGGGTTGCGATCCGTTGCCGGACACGGAAAAAAGACAAAAAAAAAAAAATTAGATCCATAGCATTCTATGAAGATAGTAAAATAAATGAGGAAATAGAAATAAAGTCTAGACATTATACAAGGAAAAAAGATTCTAAAGGCTAACTATGGAGGTTGGTTGGTTCTCACTATATTCACTCCATGCCCCTTCTAGGATGCACACTCTGCTTACCCCAAAGAGCAATTGGAGAAATCTGGTAAGAAATTAGTAGAGATGTGAAACCCCTGGAAACGCTTTGTTGTGACCTGAAATCCTAGGAATTTGCCCAGCCTGCTTTGTGGAAGTCATTGACCTTGCCCAAGCCCTCCATGGACTGCAAAGTGAGACAGGAGATAATGATGGTTTCAACTTGTAATCTGCTCTTAGGGCTTAAGGGCAGAGTAGAACAAGGCCAGGGCCATGCATTAGCCATGAGTGAAGTCTTGAAGTAAACAGATACATTTTTCATCATCTAAACCAAGGATTCATTTCAATAAGGGCTGGCATTATGGGCTATGGGTTCCTTCACAACTCTTAATAGGCCCAGGTATGCTTTTAATACCCCAGGGAATACTATACCTTCACTTAACAGCTGATCACTGAATGGCAACCACTTAGAACGAAACAAGATAGGCAGTAAGGTGCCATTGAGCTCCTTCTCTCTTCTCCCATTCTTATACCTGGATTTAATGGAACCTTGATCTGACTTCAAAGACCATGCTCAATCCACAATACTATGCTGTCTCTCATTTTAATTTTTTTTTAGAGCTGCACATTATGTATTTCTTCAGAGAATTTTTGCATAGGCCATTTACACTCTACTTCATATAGGTAAGTGGAAAAGTTATTTTGCTTCTGACAAATTCAGATAACTTTTCCTAAAGCAAGCAAAGTGCTGACACAGACATTCGTCAATGACTTCCTATTGTCACTGGGTAAAAATCCAATCTTCATGTGGTACACAAGACCTTTCATGATTTAAACCCTGCCTACTACTTCAGTCTCTCCTCTTGCTTCTCTCCCCACACATCTTTCACTCTAATCTACTTGCAGTTCCCATGCTTCTCACCATGCTGAACGTTCACATGTTTTCTCCACTGCCCAGGATGCCCTCCTCTGTTCTTCAGTGAGCCAACCCTTCAGACCCTACCCAGGCATATTTCCTTCAAGAAGCCTTCCCAATCTCTTTCCTCCTTCCCTAACTGGGTACTGCCATATCAAACGAAACCTACCTCTGAAATAAACTTATTACACTGTATTAATATTGCCAATTTACTTGTCTGTGTTTCCCGCTTAAGTTTCCTAAAACTTATGTCATAATAGACATTAAATAAATTTTCTTCTGAACAAATAAGTGACTGAATGAGTTGTTCAGTAGCATCACATTCTTTGGAGCACACAGACACAGCCTCTAAATAGTACTATATGGAAAAAGCTTTGTACACAGAGATACACTTCACAGCAAGTGACCAAAAAGTCAAACGATGTGGAAATAATTATACAAAATATAACATGGCCAAAACTGGAATATTAACCAGCCATTTAAAATTATGCTTATAAAGAAGTCATAACAACATGGTGGAATGACTACAATAATGGTAAATGAACAAAAAGGAAACACTACATTCAGTATGATCCAACCTACATAAAAATGCATGAAAATATTAAACACATATACTAACATGTTAAAAGTGGTTCATGCCAAGTGGCAGCATTATGAATTTTTAAAAAATTTTCCTCGTACTATATTTTTTAAATTTCTAAAATTTGCATGAAATGTTTTATAATTGTAAAGAAATGTTTCTTTTTTTTTTTTTTAAAGATGACCGGTAAGGGGATCTTAACCCTTGACTTGGTGATGTCAGCACCACGCTCAGCCAGTGAGCGAACCGGCCATCCCTATGTGGGATCCGAACCCGGGGCCTTGGTGTTATCAGCACCGCACTCTCCCGAGTGAGCCACGGGCCGGCCCGTAAAGAAATGTTTCTAATGAAGAAGAAACAATAAGCATTTTAATGCAAATTCCATTGAAGTCCATTTGCCCGAACTGCCTGCAAACTAAGGATAGTATTTTCCTTCCCACTAGATATGGTACACGTATACAAAGCTGAATAATACAAATAAAGTCAGATTCCAAAGCCTGCAAGAACAAAATACAGCTGAACAACAAACAAATCAGGCAATTAGCAATAAAAGTTTTTTTAAAAAGAAGAAAGTCTCTTCCTATTACTGGGACTATTTTCAGCTTCCAAAGTAAAGTGCCAGTCCTATATTACCAAAGTCATGAGTGTGGGTATTTTACAAGCTGAAAAATAATCCTGGAAGTTTCCAGAATTAAATCTCTATGGCTGCCCTAAGTATATTTGTGAAAGCATACTGGCACACGGAGGAGTCAGTCTATTAAAATTCAGTCAGGTCCATTGGCCGTTTACAATAGGGACAGTCATAAAATGACTTCTGTAGCTTTCTGTGTTAAAAATCATTTGGCCAAGACCCTATCAGTGCGTTTACAACTTTCAGAAATGAAGTACTTGGGTTATTGATTCTAAACCTAACTTTTTTTGAATTCTGATTGTTATTTATATTAGTGTTAGATTTTTCTTCAGTAATCTAATGAACTAATTGTTTTAACTATGTAACATATTTTCCTGAATTTCCACGAACAAATCTATAATAGTCGACATCTGTTTGCTATTCAGCTATATTTTGTTCTTGCAGGCTTTGGGCTCTGACTTTATTTATATTATTCAACTTTATACATGTGTACCGTATCTAGTGGGAAGGAAAATGCTATCCTCAGTTTGCAGGCAGTTCTGGCAAATGGACTTCAATGGAATCTGCATACGAATGTTTATTGTTTCTTCATTATAGCACGCACTATATTTCATAGCAGTAGGGTACTTCACAATTTAGAAATCCCATTCATCTCCATTATTCTAATGAGTACACTCAGTTTTAAGAGAAGAAAATAGAGGTTCACTCATCTAGTTAGTGGCATTACTAGAAGAAAAATGCAAGCCTTCTCCCATAGAAATTTGTCAATCCGTCCTTATTTGGCGATTTTAGATAGACCTTCGTTATAAAGTTATAACTATATAAATACAGGTATGCGCGCAGAAACACACTTGATTTCATTTCGAAAATATTTACCGAGCCCACTCAATGCTAGCATTTTATTAAAACTGCTGTTAGAGCTTCCATCTTTCCTACTAGATTCTAAACTTGAGGACGCCAAGGCCTTTCTCCCTATTCATTACCGTGGTCCCAGCTCCTAGGGACAGCATAAGAAACCCTCAAGAACCATTTATGCGAGCGGCGCCGGGGAAGGAAGCAAGGGAAGAAAGGTCCCAGCACTTGCGTTCAAGGGCGTCCTACAATCCGGGAAGGCGTGTCTGTAAGGAAGTGTGAACAACAGGCGCTGACACGCGTGGACTGCGGGGAGCGTGAACGAGCGCGGACACTGGGAAGGTGTGTGTCCGCTCCTGCTGTATCTCAACAGTAGCTCTCCTCAGCTAAGTCCACACACGTTCCAGCCACGACCGGCGCTTCCGGTTGCCGCCCCGCCCTCCTCTCCTCGACCCGAATTCCTGCCCTACGGTTCCTTCCCTCCTGGCTAGCCGCGGATCGGCAGGCCCAAGCCCAACCTGCTCCCCCAGCCCCGGAAGTTGCTCACGCCGGCGCCGTTACGTAACTTCCGGGCACGGCTTACTTCCGAGACAGACGCGGAAGTGACGGGAGGCCCCGAGAGCGGGTTTGGTTGTCGAAGTTTGGGCCCTGCGGTCCGCCCTGGGAACATCTTGGGGAACTAGATTCCTACAGGTCCGATTCCGCCAGCCCAAACAGACGAAGCCGGCGCTCGCGCCTGCTTTTAGGCCTAGGAACCGATGCCGGCCGCGTCCTGGAGCCCCCGTAGCGGGGCGGGACCATGAGCCTGCTGGGCGGCCTAGTCCCCTTGCCGCGGGCCCCTCCGGCGTACAGCAAGGCCAGGATGAAAAGGCTCCCGAAGAAGAGCCAGAACGAGAAGTACCGGCTGAAGTACCTGCGGCTGCGCAGAGCAGCCAAGGCCACGGTGTTTGTGAGTCAGACCGTCACTCAGCCGGTCTACGCGAAATCTTTCCCCAAGCTGTTCCCTTTCCCAGAGCGACAGTGTTAATATCGTGTTAGCATTTCAGCACACATTACTGCTTGTTAGCCTTGTGTCCTTGGATAAATTACGTAATTTCTCTAATCCTCTGTTTTTCCTAATCTGTAAATGAGAGCTAGTAACTACAGTACCTTGCAGAGTTATGAAGATTAAATAGAAAAGTGCTTGGTACCTAGAATATGTGCCAATAAATTTTAGTCATTATCGTTTATTACTGCAAAACTCCTGGAAGAGCGTTCGATTCTCGAGATAACTCTGAGAATTAGACATTATTTTTAAAATGAGAACAATGAAGCTCAGAGAGATGATTTAGCAAGAGCACTGTGTCGGAGCCCTGACTCCAACTTAGACACCCTATTCCGATTTATTAACTACTTCCACTATTGAACCTATTTCCAATGCACCCAACATCTCCATAACTGACCTCTTGCCTAAACAGGTACACGAATCTTTCAGTAATTTTCTCTTTCTAACCTCCTGTGAGTCTCCCAAGTGTTTTTTGCTTTTCTTTTATTGGATTTGCTGAATGAGTGAACTGGTTGGCCACCCATAACTTTGTGTTACAATATTCTGGCTTGCTCAAGCTTGCCTCAATGCCTGGAAATAGGGGTGGAAGTCCTCAAATGTCCTCCCACATCTGAATCAACAGTTTACCTTTCTACCAAAAGCTTAAACATCCCTCAGAATTTTAGGAAGCATAAGGAAAGTTTTGGAAATTAGAATATTCTTTCCAAAAACATTTGTTCAGTACTATCTATGTGCACTGGAGAGAAATAAGAAGACTAGAATTAAGAGAACTTGACATCTAATTGCCTGTTCCCTTTTATCCCCTGCGTATCAAAGGTACCTAAAGCTTGGAGTCTGTGTTATTTGAAGGATGTTGGTTGCATCAAGTACATGAAGAATGTTTTTTTTAAAAGATGACCGGTGAGGGGCTCTTAACCCTTGACTTGGTGTTGTCAGCACCACGCTCACCCAGTGAGCTAACCGGCCATCCCTATGTGGGATCCGAACCCGTGGCCTTGGTATTATCAGCACCACTCTCTCCCGAGTGAGCCACGGGCCGGCCCATGAAGAATGTTTTGTGAGAAACAGAGATATTGTTTTGAACATTGAGAGTTAGAGGTTCCACCTATGCAGCCTCAAAATTGGAGCATTCCCTTTGAGATTGATTTTTGGAAGACAGATTTAGTCATCAGTAAAGAAAGGTGATACTTGAATACATACTAAGTAGATTATGAAGTTTAAGAATTTTTACACACTAAATTTGATTTTGGTCCATCCAATTTCTCTCTCTAAGGTTCTTATTGTGTGGACATTTTGGATTATGTCGGCATTAAGTTCCTCAGGAGTCAAGGCACTTGGCTAAAATCCTCAGATTTATAGTATTGAAGGATCTGCGAATTTAAGCAGTATACCCTTTTCTCTGCCAGAGGCTACCCTAATTAGGGTGACTATACGTTTTGGTGGTCCAGGACAATCTGCGTTCTGGCATAAGCATTAATAGCACCCCCTTTTCACTCAAAGGTGTCCCAGATTGGATAATAAATTACCCTGCCCATAGTAGAACCTGACTACTTTTATAGATTTACTTATAGCTTGTGTGCAGAGTCAAATAGCTCTTCTTCTCACCTAGCAGTACAGACTCTGTTGGTTTGAAATATAGATCATCTTCCCAGCATAATACTTTGGTCTTTTATTAATGTTATGTGATTATGTTAAAAATTTTTTCTTAAAGGAAAATGCTGCCATTTGTGATGAAATTGCTCGTCTTGAGGAAAAATTTCTTAAAGCAAAAGAAGAAAGAAGGTGAGTTGGCTTCATTTTGTGTTCAGAATCACATTTTTGATGATTGATATGGTGTTCTTGCTCTAGGGATTTTTGTCCAGTGGGATTTTTATGCATTGCACAGCTCCTTAGCCCCTTGAACAAGTACAGAGAAACTCACAACCTATGGCATTGGTTCTTACACACCCAAATCATAATGGATGATGTTGATGAGACAGCTCCTCTACTCATCTTTCTGCCAAAACCTCCTTCCCATATCTAGTAACTCCCCAATTATAGAATGCAAGGGATACAGAAACTGCTTCTCATTCTACAAATATTTATTCAGTATGCACTACTCTATGCAATATAGATACATCTGTAATTCATGATTATATGCCATTCAGAAGCCTAATGCCTTGTAACATCAAAGTAAAAGAACCCTCCAGACACAAAAAAGATAAGCTACAATCCTTATTCTTGGCTTCTTGAGGTATTAATTATCCTCTGAGGCTTCATTATTCTCAGGGTCCAGTAAGAACCTATTTTTATGAATGTAATAATCTTTGTATATAATTCTGGCTTTTCCCAGTACTTGAGTAAAATATTGAATCGAGGCAACATGGAAGTTCATACCTCTGCTTCCTTTCCTTCCTGATCCCAGGTACTTGCTAAAGAAGCTCCTCCAGCTTCAGGCTCTAACTGAAGGGGAAGTACAGGCTGCAGCTCCTTCCCACAGCTCCAGTTTGCCCCTGACTTACAGTGTGGCCAGCTCTGTGGGAACTGTACAGGGAGCTGGGCCCATTTCTGGGCCCAGCACTGGGGCTGAGGAACCATTTGGGAAGAAAGCCAAGAAGGAGAAAAAAGAAAAAGGCAAAGAGAACAACAAACTGGAAGGTACTTTGGAGACAATATCAGTTGCCTTAGTGGCTCAACTACTAATTACAAAGACCTGGTACTAACTGGGAGACACACATGGCTACAGATGTATTTAAAGTCTCGTCTCGTCCTTAAGGAACCCTAATAGCCCTTGAGAAGCAGTGTCTTATTAGAGCCTCTTTGGATGGAGAAATTCTAGTTAGACCTGGTTAAATACAAAAGAAAAAGACTGAGATCTCCTCCTTCCCCTTTCCCCTAATTCTCTGGGTTGCATTCAGTTCAGTCTTTCCTAGAGGCAGGGAAATGAGCTAGGAGGACTTTTGAGCACACTGCTGGCTTGGGAAATTTCTGATCTTATAAAGGAAGTAAGCTCCTAAGCACTAACATTAAAATTGGTTACTACCAGATGGGTGGGTTAGAAAGATACTCAGGGCTTTGGAGAAAAGCCCCATGTATCCATTCAGTGAGTATATGAAACCAGGATTGGCTTATTGCCCTTAGCATTCACATATAAACTTTTCCCTTCCTCTCAGCATTGAGAGGGACCCAAAGTGGGTGACCCCAGATTTGCGTTTCAGTTCTGAAGAAAACATCCAAGAAAAAGAAAATGGAGGGAGGTGCTCGCAAGCTGGTTCAGCCCATTGCCCTGGATCCCTCAGGACGGCCTGTGTTCCCCATCGGACTAGGGGGTCTAACAGTATATAGCCTGGGGGAGGTGAGTGAGACCAGCAATATATAGAGAGGAGAATCAGAGAAATCCTGATGGGAATGGGATTGAGCCTTACCTCCCTGTTCCCATTAGCAACCCTTTGCTGATCCATGCCAACCCCAGAAACTCTCCAGTCCCTATGAAACCAGGTCAGTTTCGTCTACTACAGAGTCTATGCTCTTTCTGTGTGATTTGAGTCACTCTTTGCAGCCCCAGAGTGGTTCTAAAGGCTACCACAGTAAATGAGACTTTTATAGATTCTTCAGTGACCTCAATCCCAGGTTGGGGGGGATCTTTTTTATAGATCATCACCGACCGACCTGGCTTCCATGATGAGAGTGCCATCTACCCTGTGGGCTACTGCAGTACTCGAATATATGCCAGCATGAAGTGCCCAGACCAAAAGTGTCTGTACACCTGTCAGATCAAGGATGGTGGTGTACAGCCTCAGGTACCCACTCTAATAATTAATAATAACCGCTATTTTTTTTGAGAACCTTCTCTGCCACTCACTTAATATGTATTACGTTTTCTGACACTTTACAATGTAGATACTGAGAAAGCACCGTTAGGGTAACCACGAGATGCAGAAAAGTGACTGGCCCTAAGTCATACCTCTACTACAATGTTGAGCTAGAATAAGATAAAAAACAATCAGATAAAACAGGCATTTCACAGAAACTGTGCAGATGGTTCATAAGGGTGAACCTCACTAGTAATTATGGAAATGCAAATAAAACAAAAATGAAATCTTATTTTGCTCATAGGCAAATATCAGAGAGATTGATAATACCCAGCATTGGCCAGGGTATAACAGTTATCTGAGTAGAAGTGAAAATTGGTAAAGTCTTTTTGAAGAGCAGTTTGGCAATATCAGCAATTTTAATAGCATTGCCTTAGACCCAAAATACTTCTAGGTAGTCTAGTATTTCCTAGAGAAATGTGCAAATATGAACAAAGAGTAACATACAACAATGTACATTGCAGCAGCAAGAAATTATAAATAGCCTAAATACCTATCAACAGGAGAATGGTTAAGTAAAGTATATCCATCCTGTATAATATCACACAGTAGATAAAAGAATGAAGTAAGATTTATACATACTAACAAGGAAAAGTCTTTAAGACCAAAGTATAACATTTTGATCTTTTAATTGCTCTTTATTCAAATAGGATAGTTTGCACACAATACAAAAAATAATTGTAATTGGCATGACCGTTACAAAATAATAGAGCAATCCCAGAATATTTGAAGATAATTGCTCATAATCTTTTCATGAATTAGGTAAGAAATAAATATAAACCATCAATATAATGTATGTCATTGGTTTAAATTTTAAAAAAATCATTGACTAAAACTACTCACAAGATAATTACTGACAGATCTCTAAAAGATGACACAGCAAAATTAAAACAAGTGAAATAACCACAGAAGAAAACTGATGGTAGTAGAAACTATACTCAGTATAAGTTTCGGATTTTTTTTTTTTTTTCTTTTTTGTCTCTTTTACTGACCGGCAACGGGATCGCAACCCTCGGTGTTGCGTCCGCACCGCGCTCAGCCAGTGAGCGGGAACTGGTCTCCACATGGGATCCGAACCCTCGGCAGGAGCACCGCCACGCTCCCAAGCGGCGCACTCTCCAGTGCGCCACCGGGCCGGCCCAAGTTTCTGATTTTTTTAAAAAATGAATAATGCTCATTATTCTAAAAACTTATACAGAAAATAATCCTGTTCAGAATAATTTGAATGAAGTACACATTGAACAATTGGAAACTGTTTAACTGAATTTTATTAAAAAACTGGTCAAGGAGGCCGGCCCGTGGCTCACTCGGTAGAGTGCAGTGCTCATAACGCCAAGGCCACGGGTTCGGATCCTATATAGGGATGGCCGGTTTGCTCACTAGCTGAGCGTGGTGCTGACAACACCAAGCCAAGGGTTGAGATCCCCTTACCGGTCATCTTTTTTTTAAAAAAATAAAAAATAAAAAACTGGTCAAGGAATTTAATTGGTTAGATAGAATTTGTTACATAAATATTTTCTTGGCAGAAATTCGTTGAACTTTATAGAAAACTGGTCAAGGAGTTAAGTTAGCTAGATAATACTTGTTACAAAAATATTTTCTTAGTGAAAATTCCTCAGGATTATTGTAACTTTGATGTAACAGTTCCTTTTTATTAACATAGACAAGATATTTTAGCAGTCAAAAATGAAATTAGGGGCGGGAGAAAAAAAAAATGAAATTAAGCAGCCTGTCCAGTTAGGTTAGTTGGTTAGAGTGCAACCTGGTAACATCAAGGTCAAGGGTTCAGTTCCCTGTACCAGCCAGCACCAAAAAAAAACCGAAAGCAAATGAAATGGCATTCTGCAGTCAAAATGTGCTGTACTCCCAGATATTGTAAAATAAACCTAAGATTACATGGAGAGTGATCTCGTTTATTTTTAAAATACCATTTGTATTTGTACTTAAGTTAATAGGAAAGGATCTGGAAAAATACATAATAAATTAAATGTTGACCTCTGGAGAGCAGTCAACCAAAAAGTATAGAATTGAATACAAAATACAATCATTCTATCCCAAAAGTCCCAAAAGTCTTAGCTTGCTCCAGCACCAACTTAAAAGTCCAAAGTCTCCTCTGAGACCAAAAGCAAAAGTCCTTCCAGCTGTGAACTTGAAACACAAAACCAAATTTATCTACTGCCAGGATACAATGGTGGGACAGACATTGGGTATACATTTCCATTCCAAAAAAGAGGAATAGGCCAGAAGAAAGGAAAAACAGGCCCCAAACAAGTCCGAAACCCAGCAGGGCAGACATTATGTCTTAAACCTCCAAAATAATTTTCTTTGACTCCAAGTCCTGCATCTAGGGCACAATTGGGCATCTGGGCCCCCAAAGCATCAGGCAGCCTTGTTCCCACAACTCTGCCAGGCACAGCCCAGTGGGCCACGCTGTTGCCTGTGGCTTTCCAGGCCTGCATTGCATGTTACCAGTGGCCCCGAAGTTCTGGGGTCCTGGCGGCAGTCCTGCTGCTTTGGCTCTACTAGATGTTTCCCTGGTGGGGGTTTTCTGTGGGGGTTCTGACCCCACTTTCCTGCTTGGCATTGGTATAATAGATGGCCTCTGTGGTGGCTACAACCTGCGGCAGGTCTCTGCGTGGGCTCCCAGGTTTTTCCATACATCCTCTGGAATCTGAGTAGAGGCTGCCATGACTCCACTGCTCTCACGTGCTGCTGGCCTGCAGACTTAACACAACGTGGGTGCCACCGAGGTTTTGGGCCTCTACTCTCCAGGGCTGCTGCACGAACCACACTTGGGGCCGCTCCAGCTGGAGCAGCTGGGATGCAGGGAAGAGGTTCCCAAGGGCAGCTGTGCCCCAGGTCTGTCCTCTGGGATAACTCAGTCCTTCTAGGCCTTGGGGCCTGTGATGGGTGGGGCACCCTTCCAGACTTCTCAAATGCTTTTAGGGCATTTTTTCCATTGTCCTGGTTACTAGCATCTGGCTGCCTCACTGCCAAGATAATGTCTTTAGCAACCAGTTTATCTGCTTCACCCTTGCATTGTTCTCCACCTCTCTGCTTCTTTACCGCATGGCCAGGCTGCAAAGTTTCAAATCTTTATGCTCTGCTTCCCTTTTAAATTCTGGCTTTACGTTATGCCTTTGCCACCATAACTCAGAGTATGCTGTTAGAAGTAGCCATGCAGCGTCCTAAATGCTTTGCTGCTTAGAAATTTCTTTGGTCAAATGCTCTGGTTCACAACTCTTAAGTCCCACCTTCCACAAAATCCAAGGGCATGGCATAATGCAGCCAAATTCCTTGCTATGGTGTAGCAAGGGTGATCTTTTGTCCAATTCCCAATAAGTTCCTCATTCCTATCTGAGACCTCATCATCCGCATGGCCTTTACTGTCCACATTTCTATCAGCATTCTGCTCACCACTACATAAGTCTCTAAGGCATTCCAAATTTACCCTCGTCTTTTTCTCTTCTTCTAAGTCCTCCAAACTCCTCCAACCTTTGCCCATTATCCAGTTCCAAAGCTGCATCCACATTTTCAAGTATCTGTATAGCAACACCCTACTCCTGGTACCAATTTTCTGTTTTAGTCCGTTTTGTGTTTCTATAACAGAAATACCTGAGACTGGGTGATTTATAAAGAGAGATTTATTTGGCTTAAGATTCTGGGACAGCTGCATCTGACATGGGCCTCAGGCTGCTTCTACTCATGGTGGAAAAGTGACAGGCAGCCGGCATGTACCAGCAGACCACATGGCAAGAGGAAGCAAGAGAGAGAGAGAGAAGGTGCCAGGTCTTTTTAAGCAACGAGCTCTCACGGGAACTAATAGAGTGAGATCTCACTCATTAATCCCCCAAGGGAGAGCATTAATCCGTTCATGAGGGATCCGCCCCCATGACTCAACCAATTTCCAACACTGCCACATTGGAGATCAAATTTCCACTAGTTTTGGAGGGGACAACACATCCAAACTCCATCACCCTGTAAGCTCTCAAACTAAAATCCTCCCTTTCCTGTTTAGGGGGAAGCTAATGCCTAACCTATTTCCATCTGGAGCTGACTTTTTTGGGTTTTCTCATCCAGCCATCCACAACCTGATCCAGAGTTGTCCAGGAGCTCGAAAATGTATCAAGTAAGTGTGATCAAATCCATTCCTTTGAGGTCATCCAGCTGGGGACCCAACCTACCAGTTACAGCTTTGTTCATTCATACATTTATTTTGTGTCCAAGGCATAGTTACTTCTCCACTAGTGTACCTCAGTATTAGCCCTGTCAGCCCTCTGGACAGGTGAACAGAAGCCAGGACTCCACTCTACTATAATTATCATTTTTTTGTGTGTACCACGACAGCAAAAGTGTTGGGAAGTCTAGCAGTGTAATATATCACTGAAGAGGCCTGCCTGTTTTCGTGTAGGCTTATTGTTTGCTAATACCTTTTTTGGATATATATGGGAGAGATCTAAAGAGAAAATACCTAATTCCTTTGGTGGTAAGAATGGGTTATTTTGGCTAGCAGACTCTAGAGAATGATTCCCTTTGGTCCTGCAGTTACCAGTGGGTGAAATTTGATGTGTGCAAACCTGGAGATGGGAAGATTCACCAGGGACTGCCAGAGAATGATGCAGCTATAAGCTTTGAAGCCTTTCAGAGACAGATGTTTGATGAAGATCATAATGATCCCATTCTGCCAGGTATTTACCTTTCTGATTTAAAGATTGACCATTCCTCGGCTACCTTCCCCTCTTCACATAGCTGAGAACCTCAAATATCTGGGCAATAGTGAAATAAGCTTTCACTGATCCACCTGTGGGGAGTGCTGACTGGGGGGGGCTGGGAGGATGACTGCCTGTCTTCCCAGATTATTCACAAGTCATAGGGAGTACTTGTGATCATAGCAAGGCAGAGTATCTGAGAAACTAGGGTGTCTCATTCTCTAAGTAAGACCTAAGTGGAATGCCAGGGGAAGGTTTGCTGTGCAGGGAACAAAAGTTTCAAGTGAGGTCAGAGGGGTCATGGCATGGTCTTGGTCCCTGCCTCTGTTCCATGGATTCCTTCCCACAGATGGATAGAGTGATCAGGGATTCAGACATTGGGTCATATAGGGAGAGCTCTGGGATAGAAATAAGAAAATGGAATTAAAATTCTCACTCTTCCTAATATACTGCGTAACCTTAGGCAAGTCACTTAATCTATTTCAGCCACAGTTTTCTTCATTATAAAAGTAAGTATCTCTCATATCTTACCAACAAGGGCAAAATTGGGCTGAAGGGTGTATTAGTCCGTTTTGTGTGGCCATAACAGAAATACCTGAGACTGGATAATTTATAAGGAATAGAGGTTTATTTGGCTTATGTTTCTGGGACAGCATCTGGCACGGGCCTCAGGCTGCTTCTACTCATGGTGGAAAGCGGCAGGCAGCCAGTGGGTATAGGCAGATCACATGGCCAGAGAAACAGAGAGAGAGAGAGAGAGAGAAGGTGCCAGGGTCCATTAAACAACCAGCTCTTGCGGAAACTAATAGAGTGAGAACTCACTCATTCCCCCCTCCCCCAGGGAGAGCATGAATCCATTCATGAGGGATCTGCCCCCATGACTCAATCGGTTTCCAACACTGCCACACTGGGGATCAAATTTCCACATGAGTTTTGGAGGGGTCAACACATCCAAACTCCATCAAAGGTTGTTAAGGAGTTGAAGGCACATATATATGTATGACCAAAACACTCTCCTGAAATTCCCAGGCAGCAGTGGAATGTAAGGAATTTTTTTCTGCAGGATCCTTGGACCTCCCAGAGCTTCAGCCTGCAGCCTATGTGTCTTCTTACCAGCCCATGTTCCTGACACATGAACCCTTGGTAGATACTCACCTGCAGCACTTGAAGTCTCCATCACAGTATAGCCCAATTCAGTCTTCAGATTAAACAAGAAGGGATCAGATTCCACATCATTTTCATCATCATGAAATTTTTAACTTAAACTAAAACTTAGAATATTTGGAAGAAGGCAACAAATTCAAGAGTAAAGAAGATATTAATGCATTTCACCATGGAGGTCACCATGGTGACAGTTTACCCTGGGAAAAACTTCAGCACTTTATTTTTAGTAATAAATTTCTCTTGACAGGTCTGCTTATTTTCATCTTGTTATAATCAGGTATGATCTTTTCTGTGTAGCTCTGCCTGAGGTAGAGTAAACTTCAGTCGGGAAGTTTGAATTAAAGAGAGCTGGTGTCTTAGTCCATTTGGGCTGCTATAACAAAATACCATAGACTAAGTAGCTTATAAAAACTGGAAGTTTATTTCTCACAGTTCTGGAGGCTGGAAACTCCACGCTCAAGGCTCCAGCAGATGTGTGTCCTTCCACCATGTGAGGACACAGCAAGAAGGAGGCAGTCTGTAAACCAGGAAGTGAGTTTATAAACTGCCTTCTCTCTGTATCCTCACATGGTGGGAGGAGCAAGGGACTTCTCTGGGGTCCCTTTTGTAGGGCACTAATCCTATTCATGAGGGCAGAACCCCTCCCAAAGTCCTACCTCCTAGTACCATCACCTTAGGAGTTAGGATTTAACGTATGAATTTTGAGGGGACATAAACATTGACTCTATAGCAGCTGCTGACTCCTGAGGGAGACAGTAAGATTCTGACAACCTTCTACTCTTGATTCTGATCATAGTTCAAGGAGTGTCAAGTGCATAGCCCCAGCAGCCTGTGATACTTACATGAAAATAAAGTCCTTTGCTTATACTCAAACTGAGTCCAAGGTACACTGTTAATCTTTTTCTTCACGTTTTGCACATCCTTTAAGGGGATCAAAAAATCCTCTTTAACCCTTTCTGTATCCCCTCGCTTCCTTACTGGAAAATGTGCTTTATTAGCTCAGTACATTGAAACTACGTAGTAACACAAATCCAGACACAACATAATTGGGATTAGTTCCTGTCCTCCATAACATACTCACCTGTTATTTCATTAACCATGTAATAACATAACTCCGCATTCTATGCAACTGAGTTAAGTGGACCCTGCTTATAGCATTAAGGGGGAGGTTTACTAGATCAGTACAACTCCACACCATCTTGTGTGGATAACTTAGCCACCCATCCACCACGTACTCCAGCCCTGGCTGGAATGGGAGGGGACAAAGGGACCAGAAGGAAAAGAATGGGGAAGAAGTGGTGAGAATTGAATTGCTAATATGTTACAACTCATAGCTGCCAAGTGAGGACAACACAAATGGGGATTAGCATATTCTTAAAGTAATAAACCTGACCAGCAAATGGAGGAGATCAGATGGAGTGTTTACAGCAAACCACACTGGCCACTATAAACTGTCAGAAACTAACTGGCATTAATTTTGTGATTCTTAATTATAGTTTTATAAGCTAGGATAACTTTTACAATGTAAAAGAAACAATCTAATAAAATTTGGATAATAGCAAATTGGGAGTAGGCAGGGAATTACTCAGCTGTTAATGTTTCAGTGGGTTTGTTTTTATGGTATAAATTGAGCATAATTTTGCACTTATACGGAAACATATGCTGCTTTTATCATATAACAAATATCTTTACATTCTATTGCAGCCTGAGTAAAACACATATTAAAAAAGAGCTTCATTTTAGTAAGACATTAAATTTTTTTTTCAATAAATTAGTGTAAGTTTCCTACAACTGTTTTTTAGACTTACAAATCTCAACTCATTAGTTGTTCATAAACTTATGGAGTCAAGACCTACTTTTAAAATTAAACAATAAGAACATGTTGGAATGTATCACATGGAGAAAAGGTTGAGACTTTGGTTTCAACTATAGTGTGTATATAGGTATTTATATAAATATTACACATGCATACACATGGGAAACATATCAAATAATGTAAATGTTTTTACAATGGATCATGATTTTTTATTGAAAAATGATGTCCTAATATACTTAAAATGTCTTTTTATCCGATTCTTAAGGATTTTTTTTTAATTTGACAATATCCCATGTCAATAAGGATAAGGAAAAAAGGGACTATACCTTGGTGGGAATGTCAGATGTTTAATCCTTTGGGAGGATTAAGCTGTAGGTATCAAGATTTTAAATATATATTTACCCTTTAACCTGTTATTCCACATTAAGGACCCTAAGAAAATAATTGGTTAAGTGTGTGTGGTAGGATGTTTGCATGTAACACTCATCACAGTATTGGTTTAATAGTGGAAATCTGTGAAATACCTGTATGTCCATTAATAGGAAATGGTTAAAGTATGGGGCTTCCACAAACTAAAAAACTTAAAATCTATATTGTATTTACATAGGAAAATTGTTTTAGTAGAATAACTCAAAAACACATTACAAAGTAATATATAGTGTATAAAAGTATATAACCCAAACAAATCAAATGAATGTTCACCAAAATAGTGTTTCTTTCTGAATGATAAATTTGGGTGTGATTTTTACTTATACTTTTCTTTAGTGTCCATATTTTCTACAGTGATTATAAAATTTCATTTTCAAACAGTAAAAAGTTCCTTTCATTTGGGGAAATACACTGAATTCCCACAGAATGTTTTAAGTTATTCAAACACTAAATATAAATTAATTTGCATAAGACTTCATTAATATACCCACTACCTAAGCCAAATTTTTTACACTGTGTACCAGGTTACTGGGGTGAAAGGAATCTGGGCTTAGAGTTCTTGGCTACCTTTACTGCCTCCAAGTTGGAACAGTCCAGGGCTACATGTGTATTGGGGGTTGGGGGTGGACAGATAGATTTACTTTTTCTCTGGAGTCTCTCTGTACTAGATTCATAGTTCCCGTGGGGCCAGATACGTAAGAGGTCAAAGTATGGGTGTTAGGAATTAACTGTGTGCTAGGAAGTCCTCAAACCAAAGTTCCTTGTAGAGTGCACACGATTTGGGGGGTTTTTTGGTTTTTTTAACTGAATAATATCCTGGCTATTCCTGCTATTTGGAATGCAACCTCTTTGAAGACAGATGTGGAGAGAGTGATGCTTATTGCTTTACTTCACGTTTTTTACATTAAGGACATGAAAGCTATCCACAGGTAACATTCTTACTCCTTTCTCATGGTTCAGGGACAACTTACAAGCTCAATTCTAACCCAATTTTGACTGGGTATAAATTTATACACATCACTAATGATTATACTTTTATTTCCAACTTCTAATAGATAACACAATTTTCAAGTGCCATTAGCTGTTTTTAATCAACCAATAAACAGCATTAAAACACACAAAAGCCCCCTTTCACATTTGTCTCGTCTGCGTTATTTTTCTATATGTTTACCATGTGGCTTTACTTTCAGCCTTACTTTTTTCTTCCATTTGGATTATCCTTAAACCTTTTACTGTTAAAGAGCCGGAGATTTATATTTAACTCCAACAACCCGTTTGCCTCTGTTGACTCATGTTTTCTAAGCCTGCAATTCCCCAGCTCCTCCTCTTAACAGGCAGCCTGAGTGCCATCACTGGGCCACCACTTGGCCTTTCTTTTCTTTCTTAAGGCAGTCCCTTAGCATCTCCCAAAATGCCTGCACATGCTCTGGTTTGTTTGTTTTAAACATTCACATCATCATTATTTAGAATAAAGGAAGAGAACTGTTTGGGGCTGAAAAAGAATACAAGTAGGTCTATCTTCAATTATTTCAAAGACTGTCATGTAGTAGTAAACCTTCATGGGAGAAAGATTTCAGTTCCATATAGGTAAAACTTGGAATATTAGAATGGAAACTTCATACAGAGATTTGATAACCATTTCTCAGAGATTTATGAAGAACACATAAACACTAGATGGCCTATGTGGCCTTTAAAATCTCTTCCAACCCTGACATTCCATAATTCTGGATGAAAAGGAGCAAAAGCGTTTGACATTTCACTCCCAATAATGCGAAAGAAGTGAATGACATTGAGGTCCAATTTGTAGTTCAGAATTAGTCTACAGATTCTTACGCTGACTAAGCAACAAAAGGCAAGCATTTCAAATTGCCTACCAGCCCTGGATCATGTCAGAATATGGAAACAGTCATATTGCTAGCTGGGAGATATTAAATGAGGCTTTCTATTAATTTTCTTTAAAAGCAACAGGTGTCATCATTTAAATTCCTAAATGCCAAAATCTAAAGGACCCACCCTCCTATCTAAGATCTGATTGTATTGCACCTGTCACTTGGCAACGTTGCTCTGATGTCCAGGAACCTGGTCTGTAATGAAAGCAATGAAGGGAGGAGCAGGCAGGATACTGCTGGGGTAGTATAGGGGACATTGCTTATATTCACAAGGCCATGTGGTCCAGGCATAGCGAAGAGCAACCACAGTCTCATGACAAGAATCGATATTCAGTGTCAGGGTCTGGGTGGAGAAAGTGTCCATGGGAGCTGGAAGCCATTTGCAATGATGGTCACTGCAACATGAAATCTAATAAGAGCGTCATAAAATAGGAATGGTCAGGTCAGAAGGGTGTTCCAAGAAACTGGGAACTGCTCTTTCAGATAGTCTAGAAGGAAGGGGAGGAGCCACGCTTAGCCAAGGACCCATTTCCTAAATAACCAGAACAAACCTGAGTTCAGGTTGGGTCTGGGCAACACAGCCACAGATTGATAATAAATGTTCATGTGATTAAATAACTAATTAATAAATAAAACTTTAACTTACTGAGGGAGACAAGGAAGCACAATCATATAACGCATTTAGGGAAGGCTCCCCTGAGCATTCTTCCTGTGATCCCTCCCGTCAAATGGCAAAGCAGACAGGAATTTGAGTGAGCGAAGCAGCCTAGCAGCATACTCTCTGGCACTCCCAAAGGAGCTGCAGAATGAAGGAGGGGCACAAAGGAACTTTAGATACTAAGCCTTTCTAAGGCTAGAAAGCAATCCAGAAAAGAGAACATAAACTACCCAGTACCCAAAGGTTAAATTCTGTTCTGACTCGACTCTCTTTCATTCCGGGACCAGATGATAGGCAGACTAAAGTGGAGAACTCAATGCAGTGACTTCTCGGGAGTCTGTAAATTCACCTAAAACCCAGCATGGAATGAAGCTAAGTGGAATAAATGCTAAGCAAGCATCTGAGGCAGGTGGATACTGCAGTTAGGATTCTGGTGAAGCAGCAGCCCTAGATAAACTGCTGTGTAATTAAAGTTTGTCTTTAATATTCTTTCATCTCCTCCAATGTCCTCTTTTCACATACCACCCTCCCAGCCTAACAGTCTCATGATTCCCGAGTGAGCCACGGGCCAGCCCTTAACAGTCTCATGATTCCCAAAGACACTCATTTAAATGTCCCATCTAGGAATGCCTCCACCCCACCCACCAACTATCAACTCTAGAAGACTCCTAAATAATGTCTTTAATCAATAGTCCCAATTCCACAGCAGAATGATCATTGCTAGGTATTAGAAGAAGAAAGTAGTCTTACTTAATTCACACCAAGTTACAAATCACCAAGCTTAGGTCTCTCAAAGGAGACGCTAAACTCAAAGAATGTCACAATTTAGGAGAGTGTAACAAAAAAGACACCCAAGGATGAGAGAAATATTCTGGAGCAAGGATCTTTCAATAGGTAACCTACAAATAATGCTGTAGGCCCTTCACTGAGCAAAGATGTTTCCTCTGGGAGGGAAAATACAAAAGGAATATTTTAATATGGACTCATTTTTCCCTTCTTGATTGTCCTGTCTATCAAAATTGACTCTAAGTTAATGAATTAATAGCTCCTTATATGCCCCTCTGAGATAAGCTCAGCCCCT